GGGGGTTTTGCTTTCCCTTGCCTTTGTAAGAGCTACTACTCTGTTTGTTTCCCCGGCTAGGTCCATTATAACGACCAATACCACAACCACATTTGAAATGTCCACGAGCACCACTATGAGTTGCATTTGATTCATGTTTTGAACCATGATTTTGTGGACCAAAACTAAAAGGGCTACAACTCGTGGGTCTCATATTGCGGTTTCTCATGGCTTTTGTCTTATTTTGGGAAGTGGCTGAATTATTTTCAGCAATTGTATTTTCAAGGGCATTTGCTTTTAAATGTGCCAAAGCGTCGAATTTAAATTCCAAATACTTTTGGCCAGATAAATCAAGGACGTCAAACTCTCTTTTGCTAATGTGTGCCATAATCTACTGCTGGGAAGATGATGATTTCAGGGATTTGGAGCAAACTCGTGCTGATAACGTGTTATAAAATGGAAGCAAATAAGCAGAAGATCAGGGAGAGAAAATATAGTATGAACACTTAGTGATAGAGGTGTATTAGAGATGTTCTAATGGTGTCTTTACAATGAAGGAGAATACTCCTATTTATAGGGGAAAATATAATCTTGTCTAGATTAGGGGCTAATTGTGAGCCATACAATTACCATCTAGAAATTATAATTATGATTTCTTATTTATATTAACAATGATGATAATGTGTTCCTAATCATGAATAGTTAGAAGATGACTAATTCAACTTTATTTCAACATATTTTTATTTGTGTTTGATTCTCTTGTATATGAAAATTACCCGTGGGCGTCGCTCAACCGGTAGCAAGGGAGTGCCACAAGGGTTAGGTCCCGGGTTCGAATCCCGGCAACTGCGATGAAGGGTTACTATGCTAAAAATGCATAGGGCCTCTGCAAGTACCAGGGACAGAACCCCACTCTCTATCTGTCAGATTGGGATTATAGTTCAATTTACATCCTCCCAACGTACCGTCCGGTCGGGGTTGGGGGTCCTCAGGGATGGGGTGTCATCCTTTACTAGGCGTTTATATATGAATACTGTTACTAGGCGTCAAATTTGACACCACTAACATTGTCTGATGGTTAGCGGGGCCGGCCCTAAAGGGAATCCGAAAATAGTAGAAAGAAAATTAGGTCCAACCCGCACGGGTAGCTCAGTTGGTCGAGTGGTGGGAAAAATTGGACGTAGACCAAGGTTCGAATCCCGCAGCGGCCAAAAGGGGGTTTTCAGAACCTGAAATAAGGCTGGCCCTCTGGTGCGCACGGGTAAAGGCCTATTGCCGCTTTGCTGACTGAGTCACCGTGATTTACCCCCCCCCCCCCCCCCCACCATCCTGTCGGGTCGGGGTGGGGGGGGCCTTGGGGTTGGGGATTCAACCTTTTGGACGAAGAAAATTAGGTCCAAATTGTTTTCGTGATATGTAATGCGAGTAGGTTACTTTTTTTGGAAGATTCTGTTTTATTATAAATTCAATAAGTTAATTAAGCTTAATTCATGTGTAATTTTTGTTGACAATTTGAATATTTTAAAACATAAGTGAAAAAGTCTTGATCTGAGCCAGACAAGTTTTTAAAAAGAATACACATTTAATTTTGATTTTTAAGCATTGTTCTAAAAATTGCTCTAGACGCTCGACTAGTCCCCGCCTAGGCGCTAGGCGCTAGACGTTGGGCTGAAAAATTGATTTGGCGTCTACATTAATTAATCGGTCGCCTAGGGCGGCTAGTTGCCCGACAGAGCGCTTAATCAACCGCCTAACTAGGCATCTAGATTCATCGATCAATTTTTTTTTTTGGCTTTTTTTTAATATCCTAAGAGATATATGGATCTTTAATTTTAACAATGCATACGAAGAAAGCTACTAGTGAGTAAATGAGTAGGTATAATATATTATTAAATGTGACAATCCTATTATTCCTGCATGTTAATGTGTATATGTGTGCGTATTTTTATACACACACAAACACAACATTACTAATCATATTTTTGCAAGAATATTGATAAAACTACAATATCTATGTCTCCGGCTAGGGGCGGATCATAGTGAGGGCAGAGGTGGGCTCCAACCCAGGCCAAACGTTTTTATTTTTATTAGTATAGGTATAGGTTTAATGTCCAGTCCACCCCAAAATTAATGTCCAGCCCACTTCAAAATTAAAACCCAGTCCAGCCAAAGTCTAATTGAGGTCTATTACCGATCTGCGGCCTCTCTACGCAATTGGCAATTGTGATTCTTGGAAGACGAAGCGTGAAGAGCAAAGGGAGTCTAACCAACATCAACCGGTCTGCGGCCACCAGCCGCGCCACCGCCTTATGTCCAGGTCCAGCAATTTTCCGTGCACCGCTTTGGGCCCCTCCAACTGTCCAGGCGACTAGGGCACTGAAGCGGTCCAAGTATCCATAGCTCTAGCTCCGGTGCTCCACCGCTTTAGCCACCGCAACTCTACTCTTCAACCTCAAGTATACTCTACGTCTCTGTACTTTTTAATTATTTCAATGATTACTTTGTAAGTTGTGACTTGTGACTTTGTGTATTTTTTAATTTTGTAATTGTATTCGATTATTAATTGAATTTTTGAATAGATAATAAAATAGTGTTTATTTATTACCTAGTACGAGTATTCATTTATAACGATTAAGGATAGAATTAATGATTAGAGGATGATTTATTTATTATACAATTGAATTTTGAATTTTGAATTTTGAGTTATTTTTATAACGACTGTTTTTTTCTTATTAGTTTTACAATTTTATAGAAGTATTTTAATTCATACCAATATTAAAAATGTTTTTTTAAAATTTATAATGAACATATTATCAAGAAAGGAAATGAAAATTTAGCTAGTATGAAATTGAGCTCCAGTTTGGCTTGATAGATATTCAGTATTTGATTTTAACGCTCAATAAACATGCTCGAATGTAAATGTTTAGACTATACTCGCTAATAGATTCATGTTCGAATTATTCAATAAATACTAGAGTCTTTAATAATCATTAATAAAATTATAAAATTGCACCAAAAACGTTTAAATTTTAAGATATACTAGTATATCATTTATTCCTATAATTTATAGGTGAATGATAAGCTCGAGTCCGGATCAAACCAAACATCATTATGTTCGAACTCGGCTTAAATAACTATTCAAACTCAAAGCCTAGTCCGTGTTCGAGTTCGAAACTTCTTAAACTCGGATCATTAAATTAGATTCGAAATCAAGCTGGAACTCGAGTATATAATTCAAAAAACCTCGATTTGATATCAGGCCTGAGCTAAATCTTGTATGTATAGTAAACTTTTTTTTTACCGTTTAACCCATCCCACCTGTCAATCCTGGATCCGCCCCTATCTTCGGCTAGTCCCCGCCTAGGCGTTGGGCTGACGTCCGACTAACGCTTAATGCCTTTAAACACATGTCTGTTCACATCTTATTAGCCTTTAAGGCTTTTTATTTCTTTTAATTACAAAATTGTCAATTAATACTATTGTATTAGGGCTGCCAGTGTCTCCCAATTCTCAAACCTCATCTCAACTATCTAAATCGACTATGTCTCAAAAATACTTAATGCATTAGCAATTTTAAGCATTGAGTATGAGATCTTGAAAAAGATTGATTGTAAAGCAATTATCGATGATTTGACTTTACACTATTCATTTGTGATCCTTGTATATTACTCCATCTGTTCCGCTAACAATGAGATAAAAGGGAGTGACACGCAAATTAATAAAAAGTGGTTTATGTGGTTGATATTCAATTGATAAGGTAAGAATAAAGTAAGAATGATTTAGAGCCACACAAACTTTACCAAATTTGGTATGGGACAATCTTATTGGGACGGACCGATAAGGTAAAATGAGACAATCATAGCGGGACGGAGGTAGTTTTACTTTTGTCCAAATATGTAATAGAAATAATATTAAAGTGAATTTCATCTTTATTTTATAACTAGGCAGGCTAGTTTGATATAACCCATTTGATACATTCGGGTCCGAGAATCCACAAATTCAACTCTGCCTTGTTCACAAAATTTGGTTTTATCTTTCTGATTTACTGTATTTGTTTTATCTTTATTAGATATTTTTAGGGAGAATTCCTGAAATAGGAGTACAAATGTTTGACAATTTTAAAATAGGATTGTCATGTTTTATTCTCTAAATAAAAATAATGACTGACATGTTTGGAAAATATTGTCATGTTAAATGTCTTATACTGACAAAACATGACAATAATTACTCTTATTTAGGGAATAAAAACAAATCTTAGTCCTATTTAGGGTAATTTATCATAGTTTTATTATACCACGTAACTCTTGTTTTAAGTAAGTATAATTTAGTGTCTTTCTTGAAAATAAGGTCAAGATAATATATCGCTCATAGGCACAAAACTGAATAGAACTCTGTTCTGATGGTCAGCTATTCAAGTTGGGGTGATAGTTTCTCATTAATAGTAGGAGTAAGATTTGTGGGAAATCAATTGAAACTTTTTTAATTTATTATTTAAATTGGTATTAAAACTTAATGCATGTACATGATAATAATGACAATCTTTTCAATTAAAAACATTTTAAAACACACATGCACTTGACTTCTACTAAGCTAAAAATGAAAAAGGAAACCATAGCATCGAAGGGAACCACACCTCTAAAGGAGGACCCCCATTCCATAATACAATTCAAAAGAAGTCCGTAACCGGTGGGCGTAACTCAAATGGTAGCGAGGAAGTGCCATAAAGGTTCAGTCCCGGGTTCAAATCTCAACAACTGTGATGAGATATTACTATGTTAAAAAATGCATAAGATCACTCCACATATCAGAGACAGAACCAGACTCTCTATCTATCACATTGTAATCGTAATCCAATTTACCTTTCCCAACTTACCGTCCATCCGTGTTGGCCGGGATAGGTGTCATCCGTTCCAAAGAAGTTGTCTGGCCCTCTGGGTATATTACCGTTGTTATGGCCCCCTCTCTTTTCATTTGATTTTTATTTCTATTCCTTTTTTCCAGTTTTCAAAAACGAACCAAGGCGCCGATTTTCTATGCCCCATTTTTCCCACCACATCCGAACCCAATCAACTGAAAAACTCCCCATTATCACTTCTCTGTTTCTGAAACCCACCACCACCATCTTCGATTCTCAAAAATGCACCCAAGAATGTTCCACATATTCTCTCTTCCCTTCGCCTTCTTCATCACCATTTCCTGCGCATCACGCTCGGAGTGCTTCTCCATCGATTTCCCGGCTTTCACTCTCAGAAACCTCACCCTTCTTGGAGACTCGTATCTCAGAAACGGCGTCGTAGGGCTCACCAGAGAGCTTGGCGTCCCGTCATCAAGCTCCGGCTCCGTCATATACGACAACCCAGTTCGTTTCTTGGATCAAGAATCCAACACCACTGCCTCCTTCTCCACAAGATTCTCTTTTTCAATCGATAACGTCAACCCGGCGTCATTTGGGGATGGGTTGGCCTTCTTTTTGGCCGCCGACAACCAGACGTTGGGGAGTCCCGGCGGGTTCTTGGGTCTGGTCAACTCATCGCAGCCGACCAAGAACAAGTTTGTGGCTGTGGAGTTCGACACGAAGCAGGATTTGGAGTTCTCCGATCCAGACGGGAACCATGTGGGGTTGGATCTCGACAGCCTCGTCTCGATCAAGACTGCGAACGCGAGTTTGGCAGGTATTAATCTCAAGTGTGGGAATGTGATCACGGCTTGGGTAGATTACAAGAACGAAGAGAAGAAGGTGGAGGTGTTCTTGAGTTACTCGAGTTTCAAGCCTGAAACCGCTTTGCTGCAAGTACAGGTCGACCTCTCTGAGTTCTTGCAAGAGTTTATGTTTGTGGGTTTCTCGGCTTCGACGGAAGGAAGCACAGAGTTGCATTACATCGAGAGTTGGAGCTTCGAGACCTCCGGATTTAGGGATTCGAGGCAAAGAATTCTCCCAAACAACGTCGCCGTCCCCTTGAAGCTGCCTCCCATTCCGCCGCCGCCGCCGGCAGACTCAGCCGGAAGCAATCGTGGCAAGAACCTCCGACTGGGTCTCGGAATTGCATTTCCAGTATTCTTCTGCGCTCTTATTCTTCTTGTTATGTTCGTCCGTTTGTTTTCTGTGAATAGGACGAAGAAGAGGGAGAAGGTGTTCAAAGCAGAGGTTAAGACGGGTCCCAGACAATTCACATACAAAGAGCTAAGAGCGGCCACAAAAGGGTTCAACCCCGGGAGGATCATAGGTAGCGGAGCGTTTGGGACGGTTTACAAGGCCATTTTCGAAAACTCGGGAAACATAGCGGCTGTGAAGAGATCGAAACATACACACGAAGGCAAAGCGGAGTTCATGGCAGAACTATCCATCATAGCAGGGTTGAGACACAAGAACCTGGTTCAACTGCAAGGGTGGTGCGTGGAGAAGGATGAATTGCTGCTGGTGTATGAGTTCATGGCGAACGGGAGTCTGGATAAGGTTCTATACAAGGAGGGGGGTACTGAAAACCCGCTGAAATGGGGGTATAGGTACAACATAGCTGTGGGTTTAGCTTCAGTTCTTACATACCTGCACCAAGAATGTGAACAGCAGGTTATCCACAGAGACATAAAAACGAGTAACATAATGCTGGATTCAGGATATAACCCGAGGCTAGGGGATTTCGGGCTGGCGAGGCTAATGGATCACGCTGACAAAAGAAGCAGCAGCCCGTTGGTTTCAACCTTGACGGCTGGTACCATGGGGTACCTGGCACCAGAGTATCTGCAGTATGGGACTGCCACTGAAAAGACTGATGTGTTCAGCTACGGTGTTGTTGTGCTAGAAGTAGCTTGTGGGAGGAGGCCTATCGAAAAGGAAGGGGTAAACTTGGTAGACTGGGTGTGGAGGAAGCACTCTGTTGGGAGGATCATTGATGCTGCAGACACAAGGCTTGCAGCAGCAGATAGAGGGGAGTTTGAAGAAGAGGAGCAGTTGAAGAAGCTGTTGATTGTGGGGTTGAGTTGTGCTCATCCTGATGCCAATGAAAGGCCTTCAATGAGAAGGGTCTTGCAAATACTTAATAATGAGGCTGAGGCCCTGGATGTTCCTAAGGCCAAACCTACTCTCACCTTCTCTCATAGTTTGCCACTTAGTATTGATGAAATCATCTTTTCTTCTTCTTCCTCTTCATCATCTTCAAAGGATGTTGTCCCTGAAGAAGAACAAGAAGATTGTGGCAGGGTTTCTGGAGGAAGTTGCTACCTAGAGATCAAACTGCTGGATCACTCTTCCTCTTCCTCTTCTTCTCATAAGCAGCCCCAGCATTTGCAGCTAGGTTTGGATGATGATGGGATCTTTTCAGAGGCTGGAAGTCCCTTAGAGATCCGACTCGATCTAAACCCGCAAAGAGATTCTTTCCCAATATACGACGATGACAACTTTGACAAATAAAGGCTGGCTGGAACTAATGATAGTTTGCTCATTCATTTGTTCTTTCACACAGTTTGTAAGATGATATGATGTCTTTTTAAGAATGACTCAGGGGCTGCTGAGTTCAAGTTATTCCATTGAACTCACTAACTACTCAATCTAGTTATAATGCTCATTCTGGTCTGTTTTTCTGCTGCTTCTTTTTTTACCTATTTTACGGCTAGCTAGTAAATAAATGCCTGTCGCATTTTTCTTTCCCAGTGAGAAATCTAGCTTTCAAGATTGAAACTTTAACTTTATGCATGCAGATATATATATACAAACAATTAATGTGGAGTCTTCCATGGCAGGTTGGTTACCTTATAACAATTAAAACACTAAAATCTTACGGGTAAAGGTGTAGGAATGGGATGTTTATAAAAATGTGCTAACTTTATCTAAAGAAAGACTCACCGGAGCTGAGGTAGGTGGTGATTGTTTACATCTCATCATTCTGTTGTGCCCAGCTCAGCATCTGACGTGGCCGGCCTGGATTCTGGCACCATCTTCTTCTCCCCTTCATTTCTTCCTGAATACATTTGTTAGTTGGAAATTAAATGCCAGGGGAAGAAAAGTATACGTACTATACGTTGGAGAGACAACAACAAAAAGTCAAAAGTTGTATTGAAACATGTGTGCGCCCGTCCATAGTTTTTATAAGGACAAGATTATTATTCATTTTTCATTTCCCTTTTTCATGTTCAGAACAGATTCAAGAAAATAACTTTATCTTAGCAAAATGCATTTTCAGGATCCAAACTTACCTTTTATTTGCAGTTCTTCAGTGCTTCTTGTTTCTCTTTGTGTCTGTTTATAATGGAATGGAATGAAAGAATAACAGAAAAGGGGGGCCTGGAGGAAATAGGATGGAAGGAGGTTATGACAGAGAGCACATTCCCAATGAACCACAAATGGCATTTTGCTGGTTTAAGGATTGTGCTCTCTCTCTTCTGTCAAAAACTTCTCTACATCCTCCAAAACAGCCAGCTTCCCTTCCCTTATGCTGCTGCCACATGATCAGCACCTAAAACTCCTGCAAAAGACACACACAAACACACACACACACACACACATATACATATATATATATATGGATCTAACTTGGCTCCCAAGTGTCTTCCAGAAGGGCATAAAAAAGATAGATAGAGCATGTAGTAGTGAGAAATATAGTGAATGAGAGGAGGCCCAGAGTATTGTCCAATTTATAAAGAGGAGCTGAGGAGGAGCACAATTAGCATTGCAATTCTAATTTAACCTATTTTAGCATTAATACACATATAATATGCACCATATATATGAATATATGATTACTAATATAATATTATTCTAAAAATAATAATCTCATACATATACTATTGCAATTCAAAAACCAAATCTTTATTGCGATACAATTCATTTGGTTAAACAAGGCAAAAGTTATTTAAAAAGTATTGACGGATGTTTACCTTTTAAACTTTTTATCCTCAACTAATTTGATAATTAAAATGTAATATATCTTTTTTTTTCAAAATAATTTTCCTTTGATGTACCATTTCTTATGCTTTAATGTATTGGTACTTTTTTCTAGATCATTTCAATTATACAATCAAATTATTCTCCATTATCTAAACTTAGAATGTAATAAATTTAAATGTCGTCGTGTATGTGTACCAATGAATTTTTTTTGAATAAACAATACCCGCAGAGCCCTACATTAGCGAATAAAATTGTTCCGATGCGCTAGCAAAAACATTCGCCCCGCTACACTAGCGGAAAAAAATTCACCCATACCCAAATGAAAAAATTTCGTCCCCTTGACTCGAAATCCTGAATCCGTGCGTAGTACTTAAACCTATAACAAAACCTAGGGGTGGCCAATTCCGCTTACGGTCCGGTTTCTTCGGTTTCGGTTTATTCGGTTTGGGAGAATTTGTACCAAACTAAAACCATTTGTGTTTCGGTTGGGTTTCAGTTCGGTTCGGTTTGAAATTCGGTTTACCAAAATGAAAATTATTAGGTTCAATTTAGTTAGATTTGATTCGGTTTCTTATGTTTATTATTTTATTTGATCAATTTCTATATTTTAGAAAATAAAACTAGTACTCCATCTCATTTTCTTTTATTTATTATTTAAATAAAATGTACAAGGAAATGAAAGATAAAAAAAATTAAGTAATAAAATATTACAGAGACTACATATGAATTAAAACTTCTAGCATCTTTTCAACCACTACAATAAGATTCACTTCTCACAAAAACTAAATTTATAGTTAAATAGCATTTATAGTATCACATAAAATATTCAAAGAAAACTAAATGATCAGTGGTGCAAACGTTTTAGTATTCACAATTTTTTTCAAATGAATCATGTAAAAAATATAAATGTACTTTGCTATTGTTATCGTCAAATATCTTTTCATATAGGTAGAGTATAAAACAAAATAAATACAAATATGTCGCATTAGCTAACTTTAATTTGTCATAACGAATGTATGAAATGTGTAAAAGTTAAAATGATATACGCTAAATTTGTATTTTTAATATTTAAATTATTTACTTATATCCTAAAGATCGAAAAATTCAACTATAAATTACTCAAAATAGGACTAAAACTATGACAAAAACTCAAAATAGGACTTGTTATGTTTTATTCCAAAATAGGACCATATTACTCCTATTGGAAACATATCTATTTTTCCATTCCATTCTTACCTCTCCTTTTAATATGATTAAAAGGTAGTCAAAAGTCACAATTAAATGTTTAATTCATAATAAATCCTAAAAAATTAAAAAAAACGTAGAAAAATAATAAAAATTAATAATATATTTATAAAATATTTGTAAAATAAAAAATAAAACTTTTATTTTTTAAAAAAAAAACTTTTTTTTAAAAAAATTAATAAAAAATAGTAAAACTCCATAAAAATACTGATGCCTTTCCCACCACCTGTACTGCCTCCCTGCACCACCACCTCTGACTGGTGTAAAAACCCATTTTTTCTGAAAATTCCAAAAACATGGCATATTCCTCTTTGAGAATGCCAAAATTTTCATTGAATCTGCCATAAATACTGCATTCCTAATGCATGTGGAATTTTTTCCCCCGGTTACCAGAGATGGTGGTGCTGGGGTGTTTTTTTTAGCGTTTTTTAGTTTTTTAAAAAAAATTATTTTTTTTAATTTTTAAATTAGATGCCTTTCCCACCGCTTGTACTGCCTCTCTGCACCACCACCTCCGACAGGTGCAAAAAATGTCATTTTTTCAAAGAACTGCTATTTTTTCTGAAAATGCCAAAAAAATGGCATATTACTCTTTGAGAATGCCAAAATTTTCCTTGAATTTGCCATAAATATGGCATTCGTAATAGATGTGGCATATTTTTCCGCTAGTTACCGGAGGTGGTGGTGCTAGAGTGGTAGAGGCGGCGGTGATTTTTTTTTGCGTTTTTTATTTTTTTTAAAAAAATATTTTTTTTAAAAAAAATAAATTATTATTATTTGAATATTTTTATTCTTTTTTTAGTATTTTTTATGAATTTTATTGTTTTTTATGAATTAAAACATTTCAATAGCAACAAGGGTATATTTGTCCAACACTAGGGGTGGGTTCGGTTCTTGCGGTTCGGTTTTGACCTAAAACCAAATATAGAATCAAAGTAAAAAGTTCGGTTCGGTTTCGGTTCGGTTCTACACTCCAAAACTTCGAACCACGATTTAATTGGTTTGGTTTGTTTCGATTCGGTTTCGATTTTTTCGGTTTTGTACCAAAAAATTATCATTTGATCAAAAATTGCTATAATACTTTGAGGGATCAAACATATATTACATAAAGAATGCAAGCACACTACAACAAATAAAATAAAAATGAAAATAAATAAATATGTCATGAATTATATGAGTATGCGAGAGAGATAAAAGTGTATATTATTAATTTACATTGTTTGTGACTAGTTCAAAAAAAGTTCATGAGTATATACGTTATATGTGATGTAGTTGAGATAAATATTTATTGTTTCATCAATATGAATTCTTTAAGTTAAATAAAAATAAAAGTTAATTAATACTAATAACAAGTAAAAACATATTATCAGTATAACTATATTATTACGTGCAATGAATGTGTAAATGAATTCACAAACTAAACTAAACTAAATATAACAAACATTATTTCTCTAGAACAAGAAAACAAAAAACTATTAATGATATTAGGATTACTTAGGATTAATGCTTAACAATGGAACAATAAATTTTACTCAGTATATTTTAACTAGTTCGGTTTGTTCGGTTCGGTTCGGTTTTGAAGGGTAAAAACCAAAACCGAACCAAACAACTACGGTTCGGTTCGATTTTTTACATTCGGTTTCGGTTTGTTAGCGGTTTGGTTTTATTTGGCTACGGTTCGGTATGATTTGATTCGGTTTTCGATTTTTCGGACTCAGCCCTATCCAACACACGTATAATTAGTCTTATCAAAAAATAGTTTACGTTTTGGTCCGATTTGTGCAAAATGAGAAGTTTTTAGTCCTATTTTGACAATTAACCCTTATACGGAGTATGTATTACAAGTAGTTTGGTGTTCAGTTTGGTTTACGGTTTTGCGGTTTTAAACCAAACAAAACCAAACCATTCGCTTTGAGCAAATTGCTCCCAATCGGTTTATTTAAGTAAACCCAAACAAAAAAAAACTCACAATTTTCGGTCAAACCAAACCAAAAAACCCCATTCATCAATCAGATCAAATGGTTTGGTGTTGGAAGAGGGGCGTGTGAAGCCCTTGGGGAGTCATTTAGTTATGGCATCTTAGGCTGCCTGCAACCCATGGGGTGAAAACCCCAAATTTGAGGTATTCACCCCAAATAAGCTCCAACCCAGGCAAAAAATTGTATAAGAGAGAGCCATAGGGAGTATGGGAAACCTTGGGGAGGGAAAGGTAGCTCCTTCATTGCCTCTCTTAAAAGCAAAAGATGTAAACACCTAAAGGGAAGCCAACAAGTGGGATCAAGAGAAAGTAAATTAACTTTTTATTTAAACTATTATAACTTTGGTATTTATACTCTAAATTTTATAAAAAATATATCAAAATTCATAACTTTTTATAACTTTTCATTTGATATCAATATAGCATATATAAATTTCAATACAAAAAATTCAATTATTGGAGAGTTCTTTATCTAAAACTTTTTTGAAATAGATTCAAGTATTAAAATTAAGATCTCTTTGTTCAATATTTTTTTACATCTATCAACTATTATTTATTCAAAATAAGTCTGA